AGTATATCACACATTTCTAGCTACTGGGTTTCCGAGCGATCTCATTACAGTGCGAAATATTGCAAAAACGCATGACCGCATGGGCCAACCCGGTGCGCGTCGCCAATGATTTCTAAAAAGGAAATAAAAAGAAGTAGCTTTCAAGAAAGAGACAAGCTAATTTGCATCCAGGAATATAATTTATGCACGAACTGACAAGGAAACGCCAGGATTTCAGGTAGCTGAACTAAAAGTGATATCAAAATAGTCTAGAGATGAAATGCCAGCACAAAAGAAATGTGGAAATCAAAGTTCTTTCCGAAGCTCATTACAAGAGGCAGTGGTAGCAAAATGCCAACAGCAACTGCTCGATGGCCGGAATGTGGAATGACTTCCCCTTTCGAGGCTTACTTAGATGAAAATTTGATAACGGAAGAGAAAGAAAAATTTAGGGAACAAAGAACATAGAAATATGCCTTACTGTCTGTACGTTATAATCAAAATTTCTGTTACTTAACATGCTCTTACCCTATACACGTGCCGCACTTTGAGAACGCAAATATGCCAGAAAGCTTAAAAACACCCAACATAAAGAGGGACATCCCAACCATTATGTGACTAAGCCTGCCATCAAATAGGTAGATGCTATTAGAAGCACTCAAGCACATTAGTAGTCTCGACAAGCTTAGACAGAGCTTTTTTCGCTGCTAAATCGAGGGTGTTCCCCTCCTGTCTCTTGTGTAAACTTTGTGCCTCACAAAGATCCCTAAATGCTTTATGCCCTGAGATCCGGGCCATTGTAAGGCTACTGGCTTCATAAGCAGTAAATGTCCATTTTGCGCAGACACTGCCTCCCACTACCTCTTCTAGTCACAGGTGATAGTGCATATCTCATTATTTGTTTGTTAGGAATCAAAAAAACTGTGGAAGAAAGGCGTCAGAAGATTGACGCATTTATCCGCTCATACTTTTGTTTTCAAAAGAGTGGAACGCTGGGACTTCAAGAGTTTCTCTGTAACGACAAAAGCAGCCAGGCTCTTCGAGATGAGCGTACGATATGTCATTGCGAGCATGCGAGGAAGTGAAATCCGATCAGAACGGCACGTTGCTCATCTTACCAATAACAGCCGAGTGGGAAGAGAACAATCTTTTCAAGTTGCCGTGAAAAAGCTGCCATCGAGATCACCCGGGCTGTCGACACGAATCGTAATGATCTTTTGAAGATATGCTGACATATCGTAATGATCTTTTGAAGATATGCTGACATATCGTAATGATCTTTTGAAGATATGTTGACATATGTTGATATGTTGACATATCTTCAAAAGATCATTACGATAATGATAGCCGTCCTATCACTTTTTACATTCCTCCACTAAGTTAACTGACTTACATAGCCTGCGCTATGTAAGCCAGTTAACTCTTCAGATTTACTCGTGTAGTCATGTCTTCTGTGCAGTAATTGTATTGATACGTAACGTCAAAATTAAACACTTGTTTACACCAATGATTCCAAAGCAATCGCGTGTTTTTGCATGGTTTCAGCAGCAGTAAGATCGTTTGGAGTAGGAGCGGCTCCTGCTTCACAGTCTTGATATGTTAGTTATGTTGGGAAAGTTCTTGTTGGGCTTTTCTTCCAGGTGTCGCGAAGAGAGAGAGAGAGTCATCGGCTAAGCCCAGAAAGTGCATGTTTGAAAAGCCGTGCAAAAATTAGCAAAATCTTCGCAAAAATTGATTGCAAGAACGGGACCTTTTTTATGCACATAGCCAGCAACAGTTATGCCGAGACCCAGTATCGGGTCGCGGCACAGCTCCACTTCGATCATTTCGAATGTGTCTGGAATCCAGTTTGCTCGAGCAAACGCTGTTGAAGCCTAAACTGACAAGCCTGTAAAAACTGCTTAGCTAACAAAGCCGCATAAAGCAAAAAATAACATGCATAATTTGGCACAAAATTTAATTTTGATAAGGCAATACACCAACGAGATTAGAATACTGCAGTCGAGGCAGAAAGCAGGCGTAGGACATAAGACGCATGAAACTTCACAGAACCGCAGTCAAAGTGAAAAGCCCTCCGAATTCAGGCACACAGAAGAACTTTAAAAATAGGAAATACCATCAAAAAGCACCCGCTGCCAGTGCTGTTGGAAACCCTTATTCGACGGTTGTTTACAAGCAAACTGATAGCAGCTTTGACATATTGACATGCGCCAACACCAATTTACTCTTGAAATGGTTGAAGAACAGTAAAGGAATTGATTGCCCTACGGTGAATTCGAACACTCAATTTTTTTCACTACAGGAGCGCAACTCAGTATGTCGTAGATTCACAACATAATAATTGGTCAATGTAAGGGCTGCCCGTGCGAAGATGCGTTTTTTGCATAGTTTCCCGCAGTTTTTGTCGCTTCCGGCATCGGTTTTTCAGGCAAATACTTCTAGATAAACAAATTAAGACTGGTCGCCAGAATTGTCAGAAAACACCCTCTTAAAATTTTTTAGCTTTCTAGCTTTCCTGGCTCCCAAGTTAGCAACTTACCCGAAAACAATTTCACTGGTCCGCACGTAGGTACCACGCATACCTGGAGGTTGATTTTCAGCTCATTGAAACTTACGTGGACAGGGAACATCCCCTTGAGATCTCAGCCTTCTAGCTTCTCAGGTTCCTGAGTTAGCAACTCACCCGAAAAAATTTTGGCGGGCCCGCACGAGGGTACCATGCATACTCGAGGGCTGGTTTCGAACTCATTAAGAACTACATGGACGAGGAACCCCCTTAAAATTTCAGCTTTTCAGCTTCTCTGATTTCCGAGTTAGCAGGCTGCCCGTAAAGGACTTTGGCGGGCTCGTTCGTGGGTACCATGCATAGCCGGGAGGTGGACTTGAGCTCATTAATACTTTCTTAGACGGGAAACATCCCTTCAAAATTCCAGTCTTCTAGCATCTCAGATTTCTGAGTTAGAAAGTTGTCCGAAGAGAACTTTGGCGGGTCCATACGTGGGTGCCATGCGTAGCCGAGAGCCGAGTTTGAACTCACTAATACCTACTTGGACGGGGAACATCTCCTTAAAATTTCAACTTCCCAGCTTTTCAGGTTCCCGAGTTAAAAACTTACCTGAAAAAAGTTTCGGCGGGCCTGTACGTGGGCACCACGCAGGTAAGAGCGCCCATTTCGGAGATGCGGCTCTGTACACGCATGTAGATTAAGCTCCCCAAGTTTCAGTCCTGTACCTTTTGTGGGTCTCGAGATGAAACACACACACACACACACACACACGCAGACACACACACAGTCAACCTCTCGTCAATATGCCTTTTCTGCATTGCATAGCCGCAAAAAACGCGCAAAAATGTAAATTTTACGAATAACACGTAAAAACCGAGGTAATCTTAATGCAATAAACCTGTATGAAAGTACCAACAGCGACGCTAGGTATACCTACGTGTTCGTATGTATGTATGTGTAAGTTGATGCTGAAATTCGCATTTAAATTTGTGACCCTTTGATTTCAAAGATTCTAAGCTCGAAAGTGGCGAAGGCTGAAAACTCTAGCCGTCAAAACACACCATTTCCTGGAATTGTCGAAGTGACCGACTACTGCTCGTTTTTGATGAATCGATACTGTTTTTGGAAGATGCGGGTGTACGGGAAGGCACTTTTGAAATCGAATCCTTTTGCTGTCCTAAAAAATCTACCTACAGCAAATAACAGTCACTGGATCTCTGTCCAGGAAGGCCATTCGACACTGTAGATTAGCAAGAAGATTAAGCACTAGTATGTCTAATGACACTTCGGATACCTCATAATTTTGCAGTCTGCCTAAAGCAGTCTTCAGTTTCACAAATTCAGACACCAGGATCTCCTCGGTTGAGAGAGAATTGCGAAATACGATTACTACTCAAGCAAAAATTTAAAATCCACGGTTTTATCAGTCCATCGTACACGACAAGGATTCGACGGGTGCTGCAATTAAAGGGTCTTGAGTTTCGATCTCAGAAATTACTGCATTTTCCAGTTATTGTTTTGAATGATCTCAGAAATTACCTCATTTCCCAGTTACTGTTTTGAATTGAACTTTAACAGGTATCCAAAAAAAAATGTGGGAAAAATTATGGAGTTGCACACTAACCGGGGACATCTTTGCAAAATTTCGGCTTCCTTGTTCCTCTATTTGGCGAGTTGAAAATGCGTAAAAGAATCCAAATAAAAACTCATAACTTCTTGATGATATACTTTTCTGCATTTTATCAGTGATGCAAAAACGCACAAAAAGCCTCAAAACGAAATAATGATTACCGTTTCCTGGACGCTCTTGGATATTACCAGGTTCAATATTAGCGCTGCTTACTGGATGCGCTTCAAGGGTTGTTGGTTCAACGACTGCAGCAATAATTTCGGTTGATCCGGCATCCGAATTATCAACCACACCACTCTGTCTTGAGCTTGTTGTTGCGTTACCAGCAGCATTGCTCGGTTGAGTCGGTTCGGCGATCTCGACAGCGGTCCGTTTCTGGATTTGGTCCTCCAGGCTTTGTGGACAAAGCGCTGCACGTGTTGGCATTATCCAGCAATCTACAACAACTCACTTTTACTTTGGCCATATGGGTAATTATAATTTGGGGAAAACGTGCCGTTCTTTTAAGGAAGCATCAAAAAGAAAGTATTTTATTTATTACGATTTTTACTAATAAAGAGTTATTATCTGCAATCACGTAATGAAAATTTTTATCACATGTTATCTGATGAACAGTTATGAATAATATTAAAAAGATGCTCAAACAACGAATAACAATTGGATCAATGACCCATTGGTTTGATTACTGATTAGTTTATTGGCCATGCGTCTTTTGGATTATCAAGAGAACTTTGGTGTCTCAAAGGTTTCAGAACAATGGAGAACAGATTTTGACTTGCTTCAAAGGCACGTTCGACTAGCTCCAATTGATTACGGCAACGGTACTGCCGCTGATGGCTGTTTTCTGTTTAGAAACAGGCAATATAGTCAAATTAGATACTCGGTGCTAAAATAGCTAGATGATTTTCACGTGCTAAAAGAGCTTTTGAGCCTCTTTTCCAACCTCATGGTACGGCTCAAGGATTTTAGATGCCTCCTGAAATCCAAAAAAATACCGAGCTTGAGAAGGGTTCGAATCGGCGAGGAAGGAAAGAGGGTTGTAAAAAGGAAAATGGGAAAAATGAGAGGAGCGCAAGAAGCCATTTTCCTATTAAACTCACTTCTTTTCAACAAATCATGATGTTAATAAGCTTTTGTTATTCATTTTCTACTGTTATGTTAACGGCCGTTTCACAAGTGCTTTAAAAAGCAACTATTAAAACACTGCCCAGTCGGGTTAGGAAGTGAGTAGTGGTGCGTCCTCGTCAGATGACGGAGTAGAGGCAGAGGTGGCTGGGAGGGAGGAAGACTGAGGGCAGTGATCTGCATTTCAGAAGGTGGCAAAAAAAAAAGACGGGGTCGTCTACTGGAAAGGATGAGAGAACTAGAAGCTAAAACAGGAGGGAAAAGGGGAGAGGGAGGCATTTACAAACGAGTGCACTATGCGCAGCCGAACCGAACCAAGTTTTAATATTTGCCCTTTAAAAAGCAGATTTTTACTACACCGGTAGCAATTAGTAAAAATATTTTTATTATAATATTAGTCATAAAGCAGTAAAAAGAAATTGTTTTTCAGAGTGCTCTAAAGAATCAGACGCGCTCATTCAAAATTTCCTAAAAAATTTTTGTTTATATCATCACTTTTGAATCACATCATAAAACACGCTCGAGGAATGTTGGCCCATTTCCGCACACACCAGCAGGTTTTGATCCATGTGAACAAATCTTCTGATTCTAATAAGCACTCAGAACATTCTATTATTTTTCTCCCGTTTCAGCACTTTATTACCAATTATTTGACTTAATTTTCAACTAAATGATTTGATACTAGATAACAAATATAATTTTGGAAAAGAAGGTGTTTATTCAAGATGGCTTCAGTTTGCTCTGATGTCAGTAATCAAAAGTATAATTGGCAATTCACTTTTGCAGCAAGAAAAATCCATGTTGATTTGGCTAACAACTCTTCACTGCGCTGCCAACGAAGCGCGCAGTGTTGCTGGAAGGCTTCACGAGGACATATGATAATTCAGAACAAAATGACTTGTAATGCGAAAAGCAGGAATTGAGGGAAATGAGGTATAGAATAGAACAGCATGGACTGGCTGAGTTACTGCAGTTAGTTGGAAATCTGGTTCAAAATGCACCTGTCGTCACTGCACTTCGAACTTCCTCTCGCCAGCATTTCATCAAAAAAATCAGCTGTTAAGAGCGAGATGGGCAGCAGGAGGCAGAAACTTATTGGTGCTTAAATTTTTATTACTATTATTATCATGCCAAAGGGCCTTATCCGCATTCTAGGCCTTCATCGTTACCACTTGCCTCGCGAATTTTTGCTCACTCATCTGCTGGTGTTTTTCAAAATCCAGCTTACGACTTTGCGGTCAGGCGTACACCATGAAGAAGACTCAAGATGACAGTGTGGCAAGAATGAGAGATAACAGACGAATAAAACGAATTATTGAATGATACTTGAGCGGATTAAAAAAAAG